CGAGGGCGGGGGGGGTCAAAATGTGGCTCTCGCCTTAGCGGCGCGCACATGTGCTTCAACATTTGCACGGGCTTTACGGATTCAGGGCGGTTCCTTTTCAAACTGCGGCTCTCGCCTTAGCGCCACGCACATTCGTTTTAAAACTTGGCAAGACTTTCGCGCATTGAGGGCATGTGGTTTTCAGCATGTGGTTCCCGCCTTAGCGCCGCGCGCATTCGTTTTTTTAAAAAATGCAAGAGCTTCACGCATTGAGGGCTGTTCCTTTTCAAAATGTGGCCCTCGCCTTAGTGCCGCGCGCATTCGTTTAAGAGCTTCACGCATCGAGGGCGGATGGTGTTCAAAATGAGGCTCTCACCTTAGCGCTGCGCACATCGTCTTGAAAAACTGCAAGAGTTTCACGCGCACGCTCGAGCACCACATTGCAAGACTTTCACGCATCAAGGGCGGGTGGTTTTCAACATGTGGCTCTCGCCTCAGCGCCGCGCACATTCGTGTTGAAAATGCAAGAGCTTCACGCGTTGAGGGTGGTTCCTTTTCAAAGTGTGGCTCTCGCCTTAGCGCCGCGCACATTCGTTTACACAAACTGTAAGAGCTTCACGGATTCTCATGGTCAACGTACCAGAAATAATGCTTTGAAAGGATTCAGGACTACGCGGGTGCAATAATTATGTTGGTTCGCTGTGTTGAAGTCCCCGAAATGGCGCTCTGGCACGGTTCCCGATCGTCCAGACGCAGCAGTCAGGTTGATACGTGGCGTTGAAATCCCGAGAACAGTGTTTTGGCATGCTTCAGGATCTTCAAGCGGTTGTCTTCCAACGAGGCAGTTCCGTCAATGGAAATGAACCGTTATGCGGGCCTATGGAGAGGGAGCTTGGGGGGAGGGTTACTTCCAACATCGCTGATGACTCTTGGTTTCACACTGGTCCTCCTCCTCCTCTTCCTCCTCCTCCTCCTCCTCTCCTCCTCCTCCTCTCCTCCTCCTCATCCTCCTTCTCCTTCACCTTTTCCTTTTCCTTCTCCTCCTCTTCCTCTTCCTTCTCCTCCTCCTCATCTCCTCCTCCTCTCCTCCTCATTCTCCTCCTCCTTCCTTCTCCTCCTGCTCCTCCTGATTTTCCCCGCCATCACCCCCCAAATGTTCACCGAAGGGTTTCCACAACGGTTGGTGGAAGGCATGGTCTGATAGCTTGGCAGAGCTCTTGCCACAACGCTCGGACACACGGGCGCTTTCAAAGCTCTTGCTCCCCCACGCGTTCCGCGAAGGCTCTCCAAACGACTCGGGGAACAACTGGCCCGATAGCTTGGCCAAGCTCTAGCCCAGCTGTCGGCCACATAGGCGCTTCCACAAGGGCAGGGGGCGGCGGTGATTCGCCGTAGGCGTCTTCGATCCGCCGCCCACTGTTGATTCATCACAAGGGTGCCTAGCGTGCTGGATCTTTTCGGATTTGGTTTTGGTTCTTTGGTTCTTGTTCCAAAAGAACTCTCCCCTGGGGCTCTGGCCCAGCCCGCCGGCCACCCGGAAGGACCCCGAAGGGATCGCAAGACCTGGTTGCCAAAGTTTTTCCTGCTCCAGACGGCTCCAAGATGGCTCAAAATGGCCTCCAAGACGGCTACGCTGGCCCTCACGTTCGCTCAAGATGGTCCAAGATGACCTCCAAGACTGCCAAAGAGAGTCCAAGATGCCTCCAAGTTCAGCCAGGAAGCCCCCGAGAGGCCTCCAAGACGGCCCAACAGGCCTCCAAGAAGGACTCCAGGAAGGCCCGAAGATGCCAAAATCATAGATTTTCCCGCGGGTTTTGACGGATGTTGCCATTTGCGCCTTGTCGGCCTTCAGACGCCCCAAGACGGCCCCAGATTCCCCAAAGATCGCCCCAAGATCGAAGAGGCCTCCAAGATGGCCCTAGAGCAGCCCAAGAGGCCCCCAAGACCGTCCCAGGAGGGCGACACGACGGACCAAGATGCTTCCAAGACGCCCAAGATGGCCTCCACGACGGCCCTGGAGCACCCTAAGAGGGCCCCCAGTCGGCCCAGAGAGGCCCCCAAGACAGCTTCCGACGGCATCGGACGGGCCAGGAGCCCACCAAGACGGCCCACGATGGCTCTAAGATGGCCCAAAACGGCCCAAGAGGCCCCCGAGAGGCCTCCAAGACGGCCCAACAGGCCTCCAAGAGGGCTTCCAGAAAGGCCCGAAGAGGCCAACATCATTGAGAATTGTCCTTTGATGTTCGACGGATTTTGTCATTGCACCTTTTCGGCCTTCAGACGCCCCAAGACGGCCCAAGATCCCCCAAAGATCTCCCAAGAGGCATCCAGCACGGCCCCAAGACGGCCCCAACAGGGCCCCAAGACGGCCCAAGAGGCCGCCAAGACGCCCAAGATGGCCTTCAAGACGGCCTGGAGCACCCCAGGATGGTTTCAAATCGGCCCAGAGGGGCCCCCAAGACGGCTTCTGACGGCGCCGGACGGGCCAGGAATACCCTGAGACGGCCAAAGAGACCCCCGAGAAGCTTCCAAAGGCCCCCAAGAGGCCCAAGGAGGCCCACAAGATGCATCCAAGATGCTCCCAGAAGCCCCAAGGAGGCCCCAAGAGTGCCCCGAGACGCTCCCAAGATGCACCCTCCTCCTCCTCCTCCTCCTCATCTTCCTCCTCCTCCTCCTCCTCATCCTCCTCCTCCTCCCCTCCTCCTCCTCCTCCTCCTCCTCCTCCTTCTGCTCCTCCTCCTCCGCCTTCTCCTACTCTTCCCTTCCTCCTCCTGATCTTCCCCGTCATCCTCCCCCAACTGTTTCCCGCAGGGTTTCTACAACGGGTTTCTCCTCCCCTCCTCCTCCTCCTCCTCCTCCTCCCTCCTCCTCCTCCTCCTCCTTCCTCCTCCCTCCTCTCCTCCTCCCTCCTCCTCTCCTCCTTCCTCCTCCTCCTCCTCCTCCCTCCTTCTCCTCCTCTTCCTGCACCTCCTCCAACAACCGGGCGAAACCAGCCGGACGAAACCAGCTGTCGGCCACATAGGCGCTTCCACAAAGGGAGGGGGCGGCGGTGATTCGCCGTAGGCGTCTTCGATAACGCCAACGTCTCAGCATGCGTTGATGATTCCTATCCGCTCCCGCATGATGTTTCCAGATGCGCCAAGGCAACGCCGAGACGCACCGACGCGACTCTGGTAGATTTCATTATGAAAGAGAAGGGGCCAACAGCAGGGGGGGGAAGCCCTTACGGATACTAATCATAAGAATACGAATGCTTCAAATAAGAAGACGACGAAGAAAAAACGGATAAGCATAGTAATCATACCAATAGCACTAGCAAGAATACGATTAAGAATAAGGCCATGACATCTGGGAAACGTCGCGGCCCTGGCCATGGTGTCCACACCCCCTCAGTCGTGACCCTCCTCTTTGACGCCCCCGACCGAAGGGAGACTGACGAGGGGGGAGAGGGTTAGATCGAAGAGTCCGCGCCCGAAGGTTTTCCCCTTCGGCCTCTTCGAGGGGCCCGTTACAGGCGCCCAGGGTAGTCAACCATCGACATGTTTTCAAAAAGCATAGGCCAGGATGAAGCTTTCAAGGGCCCAGTGACTGGCCTTACGACGCAGATTGTGGCCAGAACCCAGAGGGGGAGGAGAGGAGGAGGAGGAGGAGGAGGAGGAGGAGGAGGAGGAGGAGGAGGAGGAGGAGGAGGAGGAGGAGGAGGAGGAGGAGGAGGAGGAGGAGGAGGAGGAGGAGGAGGAGGAGGAGGGGAGGAGGAGGAGGAGGAGGAGGAGGAGGAGGAGGAGGACGAGGACGAGGAGGAGGAGGCGGAGGAGGAGAAGGAAGATTACCTCACTTCGAACTGGCTCATACAGGAAATTCGGCACCTATCCGAGCTCCCAGGTGCAGCTTTAGCATCGTTCGACCAGTGCGAGTTCGGTGCTCCGAGCGTGAAGCGGACCTCTTTGCTCACAATTGATGTCCCAAGCGTGGGGGGGGGCTTGGGCAGGCTCCTGTGTCCTCGCAGGCGCTCACACGGGTTCGGCCATATGGCCCTCGAGGGGCTTGATTCCAACGGAGTTCAGGACTGCCGCGGCCAAACAGTAATTCCCCTCCTGGAATGTGCCGAAGGCTGGCGGAGTGTGTCCTGGCCGACCTCCCCCCTTCGCCCCTCGAGCGCCCCGAGATGTTTGACAAGCTTCCGCCTGCTGTGCTGGCCAAGTTATTCATGCCCTTCGACCCGATCACGACAGGCACCAGTGGGGGGCCCTTCGCGCAGGACCGAGCCGATCGGCCCGAGGAGCGCTACTCTTCTCTGCACTCTTTTCTCTCTTTGCAAGATCGTGCACCGCGGCACCCCGCCCCAGAGGAAGCTCGGAAGAAGAAGGCGGATGGAGAACGAGGGGGGAGGAAGGAAGAGGAGAAGGGCGGAGGAGGGAGGAGCAAGAGAAGGCACGGCGAGCCCCAGTTGGCTTTCGGACCCAAACTCGGGCCTCGGGCGGCCGTTCGTGACAGCTCTGGCATCCCCAAAACGCCATCGACGGGTCGAAGCTGATGGCAAGCACCCCAGGCTCAAAAATCTCCGAATCGGGCAAGAGTAGGAGGAAGCACGGGTAGATTTTGGAATACTCTTGACTTGTTTAGGCTCCCGGAGGGCCCACGCACGCTCGTCTGCCCACGCGTCCCTCTGGATGCTCGGCTTAGTGGTGGTGGTGGAAAGCCCTCGTCGCCACGACCGGATTCATTTAGATTCGCCAGGTAATCCCGGACAGAGCGTGCTTCAGAAAGAGTGCGGGGTCTGGCTGTGCCGGGGGGAGGCGGAGGCGGAGGCGGAGGAGGAGGAGCGAAAGAAGACATCTTAGCACGTGCTCAGGGCCTGACCCGATCTGGTGGCATAGCTCCATACAGTTGATGATCACCAGCCATTGTGTCACTGGCTACTTCGATCGATGACTCTGGAGGAGGAGGAGGAGGAGGAGGAGGAGGAGGAGGAGGAGGAGGAGGAGGAGGAGGAGGAGGAGGGGGGATGCGGGCGGCCCAGCTCAGTGGAAGGTGGTAGCCTCCACCTGCAGGTGCCCCGTGTCCGCAAACCGCACAAGGGAGGCCGAGCCGTTCGGCTTGACGACGACCAGGGCAGCACAAGACCGCACAGAACCAGACCTCTGATGCCCTGACGTTCCCAACGCGCCGCACCCCTCCACCCCAGACCTCTAGAGGCCTCCCGAATGGGGTCGGAGGATCGCGCCGCATCGGCGATGCATCTTCGATGCATCGGCGATGTATCCGCGCCGGCGGCGTGAAGAAAATCGGGCTCGACATCGAGCCGCATCGCCGATGCATCCGCGATGCGACGCGATCCTCTGACCCCACCTGCTCGGACCCCATGTGGGATGCCTGAGACCTCTCGACCCTGTCCCGGGGGGCAGTTTTTCACTCCGAGCTGCAACCCCGAGGCCCCGAGAGCGACCCATTGCTTTTCGGGCCAGAACTCGAGCCTCAAGCGGCCGTTCGTGACGATTCTGGCAGCCCCAGGGCGCCCTCGACGAGGCGAAGCTGATGGAAACCACCCCAAGCTCCGAAAACCACCAAAAACAACAGCGAACGTCCGCGAACCTTCAGAAACGGGGAGGACTCTGGTTTTTCACCCCGAATTCATTTTTCGCCCCCCGAAGCCAGAGACTGGACCCCAGAGGCCGAAGGGCTGCGTAACGGCTCCGTCTCTCGACGCTTGCAAGGCGTCGCAGGTCTGGGGCAACGGCTGGATTCGGCCTCCAAACTTCAGCGGTCGACTCACACTGCTGCGGCTTTGGCCGCCCCGGGACGATCTCGGTGATCCCAGTGTTGTAGCCTCCCATGCGGAGCCAAGCCTCTGGGGGCAACTGTAGGGCGCGGCAAACGAAGTACCTGGTCGCGTCTGTGGCGGAGGAGCGGCGGGAGGAGGAATAGGAGGAGGAGGAGGAGGAGGAGGAGGATGAGGAGGGGGAGGAGGAGGAGGAGGAGGAGGAGAGGCGAGGAGGGAAGAGAGGGGGGGAGAGGGAAAACATGTAAGGAAGGAGGAGGAGAGGGAGGAAGACTAGGAAGAGGAGGAGCTGGGGGGGCGGATGAGGAGGAACGAGGAGAGAACGGATAGAAGGATGAGGGTGAGGATGAGGATGGGGATGGGGATGCAAATGCTGCTGATGATGATGCTTATGATGATGACGATGATGAGGATGATGAGGAGGAAAAGGAGGAAACAGAGGAGGAGGACGAGGAGGAAGAGGAGGAGGAGGAGGAATCCCAGTAACTTAGGGCGAACAGGGAATGTCAAAGAGGGCGCTCGGCTCGAACCAGGCTCTCGGGACGGACGCCTACGCAGCGGGCGGCGCGAGAATGAAACAGATAAATCTGACTCGTTCCAATCGATGCTGTGCACGGCCGCCTCAAACCTGGACCTCACCGAGGAGTCGCTGTTAGAGTAGGAGCCGTCAGAGTCGCCCCCGTCAGCGCATGAGAAGCCGCTGGGCCCAGCAACTTTCGAGTCGCATCTTGGGCAGCGTGAGGTCGTACACGGAGGGCCGGCGCAAACTGACGTCATTTCTTCCAGCAGCCTCGCGAACTCGTTGGTGCAAGCATGCAAGCAGGCTCCCGCAGCGATCCCACGAGCAAGTTGTAGTGCAAGTCATCGACGAAGCAGGTGACGCCCCTGCCCTCGAGATTTGCCCTGCGATCAGTCCGCTCACAGGGTACTTCTTGGGGCCAGCACGGGATTCGACTGGGCATTCAGGCATCGGGTCCAATGGCGTCGCCTCCAGCCGCTGCGCGAACTCGTTGACGCAGGCGGGCACCCTCAACGACTTCATTAGGGAGTCGAAATACGCGCCATCGGAGTCCGCTTGCGGGTCAGCGAACGGGCGGGCCAATGAATACAACGATGTCCGTTGCGAAGCCGGGGAAGAAGCACGCGTGGAAACATGAGCAGCCCAGACCGGGTCGGCAGTGACGGCGGGGATGGTCTTCTGGAGGCCCTCGTTCATCACGCGCTCCTGCATGGTGAGCATGTCGTTAGCGACGGTCTTGAGCTTCTTCGTGAGCTTGTCTGCTAGGTGCCACGCCTCCTCATGGTTCTGCAGCCTCCGGTCGGCAAGCTGATTCTTCAAGGAATCGAACGTGGCAGCCGCCGCGCCATGTGGGTCAAGGGCTGCACCGACACGACCAAGATGATCAGGGAGCGGATCGGACAAAAAGTCGACGATGTGTAGAGGCTGCGGCGATTTGGCCTTGATACAAAGACCTGGACAGAATTTGCCGAACATCTTCCACTATCAACAGCGTCGCGGACAGAATCAAGCAGGTTCTGGCGATGAGGAAGCCCTTGGCCGTGTTCCAGACCACCTTGTAGTCGCATGGCGAATGCCAGCGGAAAGGAGGAGGAGGAGGAGGAAAGGGAGGAGGAGGAGGAGGATATGATATGATATGATATGATATGCGCTTGGGGGCAACGTCTGCTTCGCATCAGCGGGCCAGATCGCCTCGCTTCACTACCCAGGATAACTGCTCCCTGCGATGAACATGGAATGGCCCCGCTCTCCAGCACTTTCATGCCGTCAGGGCGGGCCTGCGGTGGCCGCATAGAGTACCACGACCCTAATACGGTGCCGCATCGGCACGGGGGGCTTCACGCCCCATGCCGATGGTGGGAGGGGACCTGCCTGCTTTCAGGCGCAGTCCCTCCCGAACACTGCGCCCTCACCTGCTGTGCTACCTCTAGCATACGCTGTGCATGAATACTACCACTGGCCGCCATACTCCGTAGCCTCACAAGGCTGACAATATTGGCGGCCGCTTCTCGCCCAACTACTTCTGCTGCTGTAGTCCGTGCAACTGCCTCTCTACGACCCTCGCGAGCTCGTCCTTTGGCCCTGGGCCCTCTCCCGCCTGCGCGCCCGCCTGCACGAAGGCCTTCAGGATCGCCCTCCGCAGGATGCCGATGGGCGGGATTTGGCCTTCCACCTTCACCTTCATGCACTCTACCAGCATCTCCACGTCCGCCATTGGGTTGATGTGGATGTCCACCTTCACCTGGATGTCCTTCTCCTCCGCCCCATCCTCGCTGTACGCCTCCTTCAGCTTGAACATGCCGAAGATCTCCTTCACGAAGTGCGGGCCGCTCTCCTGGTTGAAGAGCTTCTGGTAAGCCATCAACACGTCCTTGTGGGCCCCATCCGAGCAGTCCTCTATGAGCCCGTCGAACGCCGCCACGGCCGCGTGAAGGTAGGGGGCCCCAAGACGACGCCCTCGCCCCCTGGACGCCACCGCCGCGTAGTAGTCCTGGCCGCCCTGCAAGCCCTTCTTCGCCGCGCAGCTCGTCTTCGGGACCAGGTAGAATAGGCGCAACATGTGTTCGTGCTCTCGCGACTTCAGATCCTGCCTCAGCCCCAGCTTCTGCAGCGAAATCACCGGGCCCACCAGGTCGATGTCGTCCCTGCCGGGTGCTCTGCCGCCGCCCCTGACCCTCTGGAACTTCTGCGGCGCGCCCTTGCCCATCTGCTGCGCGTCCTGGCCCATCGTTCCCGTTGCCGACGGCCGCCCTCCGCCTCCGCCTGAGCCACCGCGCACAGCCCCTGGCTGCGACGCCGCTGCTGGTGCCGAGGCCGCCGCGCCTGTCACTCTCCAAGCCATATGCGGTGCCACGACCTCGTCTCTGCACCCGTCCAGCTGGCCCCTCGCCACGAGCGAAGCGAGCCCTAGCAGGCCCAGGATGATGTGAGCAAACATGTAATTGTAACGCCTCCATGCGGGACAAGCCAAGGACTTCGGTTGAATCACTTCGCGCCTCCATGGGCTATAGTTCACGAAACACACCCCTAGGTCTTCACAGGCAGAATAAACGCGCTGCACCGCCGCATCTCTGTTGCAGAACGTACTGCGGCACCGCGGGCATTGATTTGTCACTGCCAACAATATCAGCAAAGATCTCTGACCATGCACACACGTTTTATGAGTAGTGAGCCCGCTGTACGTTTTGTACATGTTACCACGCATGTGCTCCGTACCATCCTGCCTCCTCACCCGTTCCTCGCATGCATAGGGCTCATCCTCTTCGAGCTGCACCTCCTCCCACTCCTCCTCCACCGCGCGCGTCAGGCCAAAATCCCCGGCGGTATTTTGTGTCTTTGTGTATGTTCGCAGAATATTCACATCCGCGCCCATCCACCGTGTGTGATCCTCCGCCCCCCATTGCAGTATAGAAATGTCAGACTCTCGGTCGTCATACCACTCCATGTCTTCACAATGGTCACGCAAGAATTGCAAGCCCTGCAAGGACTGTAGGGCCCAAGGAGTACTATGTGTACAGATTCGACCGTCAACCAGCCGGGGTGTCTGATTCCGCATATCTAGCGGCGTCGCACCGAAGACTGCTGCTGTCACCTGCAAATGAGCCTCTGGATGTGCCGCCCATTTCTTGTACCACTTTAGCCTGCGAGTCCTAAGCCCCATCGAAGCGCGATTTATCTTCATCTTCCTGAATACTGCATTGTTCGTGAGTTGGTGAATCGACCCGTCGGCCTCCGTCCACGAGCATTTGCCCTGATCCAGACTGCGCAACATCTTACATATCGCTGTGTCTATATCATCTGTCAAGCGAGGTTCCAGCACCATGCTCACTAGCCCGCTCAGCGCGGCGCCTTGCGCGAATGCAATAAACATAATCCTCCGTACTTCTCTGGGCGTGTCCGATTTCCAGAATGCTCCAGCCAACCTCCATGCTTTCCTGGCCGCAGCTATCCTCCTCCTCACCTCTCCTCCCAAGTTTCCCGTCGCGTGTAGATAAGGACCCGAGACGCGTAGTTCTCGACCTGCTTCCCCCACAAGCTTGCTAGATGTGTTTTGTAATTTCCTCGTAATCGCTTGCCACCCCTCCCCTGCAATACGCTCTCTCTGAAGCTTCGGACATTCGAGAACACCATCCTCCCAGGGGCGATCCTGGATATTCCGAGGAAGATTCCAAACATAATTGTGCAAATCGATCATCTTCTTCAGGGGGGATTGTTGATGCAACTTGCTGAACCGCCATCCCAAGATCAAGTCATCCCCCTTCCAGGACCTCCTCCAGTTCCAATTTACGGCCCCAAAGGATCGGAGACCTTGCAGCATCCCTGTAAATCGCAGCTCGCCCTTCATGCCACAGAGAGCGAGCACTCCAGCTCTTGCTGAAGATATTATTAAACTGGAACAGGACCGCATTCGGGATAGCATATCTCGGACTTGCTGTCAAGATCTGGAGGCCGTCCCTCTCGGCGCCAGTAGCTTCTTTTGGGAAAGCAAAGAGAGAAGCGACGAACAGAAGAACGGAGATGGCGATGGAATTGTATGACATGATAGCTTGATGGAGGCCTCCAGCAAGAGAGCGGATGAAGCGGCAACGTTCGAGATACTTGGCGATAGGACTAGTCCAGGAGCGCGCGATACTTTTGTGGCCTAGGTGAATACCTAGATATTTGCCCCAATTCTGGATAGTAAACTTGCGAACGCGAATTCCCTGGTCTTGGAATATCCTCAACTAATCCTCACGGTCGATCTCCTGCCTATAGAACACAATGACGCACTTAGCGAGGTTCATCACGAGACCTGTGACAAGGGACGCCCGCACTAGGATGCGCATCAACACTGGCAGGGCGCTGTACAGGTCCTGCGAGAAGAAGGCCATATCGTCGGCGAGCGCGCTCAATGAGTGCTGTGGGCTCGGCAGTCTGCTCTGAATCTGGCGCAACACTGGATCGAGACAGAGGACGAAGATACTTCCAGACATCGGGCAACCCTGTCGAACCCCACGGTAGATCTCGAATCTAGGAAAACGACGGCCTCCCAGGAGCATGTCCACGGAGATTTTGCTATACAGAGCTTTGACCGAATTCAAGAGAAAGCCTGGAAACCCCATGCTTGTCAGCACGAACTCGATCCAGAAGTGCAATAAACTCGGGAAGGCCGCCTTCGCATCCAGGAGGACGGAGCCGGCGCTCTTGATACACTGCAGGATGCCATAGCGCAACATGTTACACTCGAACTTCAAAATGTTGTCAGACATCTGACGGGTGCATACGAAGCCTTTCTGGGCCTCACTGGCGCCTAATTCACACTGGTCGGAGAAGGCTTTGTTCAGGGCCGAGCCCAGGATCTTCGCATCCGTGTTACTCAATGTTATCGGACGTACATCATCGGGGGCACGCCAGAAGCTGTTCACATCTTCTTGGTGGGAGCCTTTCGGGATAAACACCATCAAACCTTTGTTGAAGTCTTCAGCGAATGGGGCACCTGTCTGGGAGTAACAGTAGAGATCATATAGAGCGTCAATAACAAATTCACCTCCGTATTTCCAAGCAGAATAACACAGCCCAATTTGGGCCAGGAGCACAATCCCGAAAACGGCTAACCATGTGATGGAAACGTTCCCGTGAAAGCTGCCATTCAACTGCAGGGTGGACGGGCTGGATGAACGGGGTGAGCTCGGCGGCGACCTCGTGAGAGGCTTCAGCAGCGCTATGTACTTTGGCCCAATGGTGGCGAAGCGCATCGGCACCTATCTCAAGCGAAGGGAAATGTGACCCGTCTGGCGCACGAATTCCTGCAAGGGCCATTTTGCGATTCCGAGGGGCCCAACTTTGGACTAGTCTTTGACCATGACTAACAGGACCAGGAGGAGGAGGACGAGGAGGAGGAGGGAGATGATCTGCTTTTGCGCCGTGCTCGGGATCCATCGAACGACGAGGCCCCTAGGACGCGGCCGAGGGGACAGACGACCGAGCGAGGGACCGAAACACCGATGCAACATAACGAAACGAGGAGCGACGAACATGAGGTAGAAACGATGGCAGATGAGGAAGGAGGAAGGGGCGATGAGCGAGGAGGGAGGAGGGAAGAGGGGGGATGGACGGGGGTGCTGTAGCCATTGATGACCTCGAAGACCGTCCCGCGGCACGAACTGTTTCAAAGACCTTTCGACTCATGCCACGATGCCATGCCATGCAATGCTGTCATTTCGTAGCTCGGCTGTCCATCCTTCTCCACATACGTGACGAAACCAAGCATGATAGTGGTTTCGCTTACCTCTCAACTCCTGCGCACGCTTTCCGATGCCACCTTCATCCGCTGTGAAACATCTGCAAGCAATCAACAACATCATGCCGACTTCGACAACACCCACAACTGCGCCTGGCTGGCAAGTTTCGCAGGCCAGCGCTGACACGCTCGCCTATGACATCAAGATCCTTGCCGCCAGGAACACCAACGCGGCGGCCAATGCCGCTGCGAACGATGCGTATACCATCAAAGCTGATGCGCCACTTCGCACTCCACCAACGGCGTCAACAACTCCTGCGGCTGCACCAGCCTCTCCAGCTACTCCTGCGGCTCCAACTGCTGCACCAACCGGGGTAACACCACCTGCTCCGGCAGGCTACACTACAGGGGCGGCCGCGGTTACCGCAGCGACGATGAGGGCTGATCACGGCCGCTTCTTCGGCTACACCTGTGGCGCAGGCTTCTAACGCGCAGCCGCGGGCGCCAGCACCAGCAGCGCCTAGTTCGGCACTTTTGGAGAGCTGCGCGATCCACTGCGCCGCCAGGCGCGCAAAAGCCGCCTCAATTGCATCCGCGGCCGCGGCTGCCACCGCCATTGCGGCCACGCCGGCCCCGAGAGGCACAGATGGCCCGCGGCGGGAAACCGCCACCCTCGCGCCGGCGCGCGTAGCGCTTCCGTGGCCGCAGGAAGGCCTTGCTGCCACTGGCCCCAGCAACCTCGGGCCGGTCGCCCCCCCCGCGCGAGGGCCGGCTGGTGCCGCGGTCGGCGCGGGCGGCGCCGACCCGTCCCGCCCAAACAGAGCGGACAGGTCGGCGCCGCCCACGGCAGCGGCGGGGCCCTCGACCCCCTCGAAGCGCAGCGGGGCGGTGCCGAGGCCACGGCAGCCATGGATCCGAGGATGGCCTGGGTCCGATCATGCGGCGGCGGCTAGAGGGAGATGCAGTGGAGCAATCACCACGGGCGCTGGGTGAGAGGCAGATGGGGCCTGCAACCACGAGCACGACAGCAATTACTGTGGTTCAAATTCTGGACCGTACCGACCGCTACTTGCACAAGACCTGCAAGAACGACACCCGCGCCGAATGCCACCAAACACACAACCGCGCCTCCTCGCCCGTCGCCGTCGACCCACCCGACGGGTCAAGGCGGGGGGCCTCCCAGATGCCTAACACCCCGTGCGGAGACACCAGAAAGGCGGTGGCGCCGAATGCCACGGGAGGCTGAGGCCGCGGCGGAGACCTGGCCAGCCTGCGCCCGCCGCCACGGTTCCTATCCACTGCCTCTGGCCTCGTCCCCCTCCTGCGGCCACCCCTCCGCAGCCGTTCTCTTTCTCTTTCTCTTTATATGTTTGTTTTATCTTTCTCTCCCTATATCTATATATCTCTGTCTATCTCCCTCTCTCTAGGTGTTTTGATTATGGTACTTGTATGTGTATATAAACATATACATCTATATGTATATGTATGTGTGGCTCTCTTTCTCTCGAGATCTATACATATATTTTTACGTATATGTATGTTTTTTCCTCTCTCTCTTTGTTCCCCTGCAGTCATCGTGCTACCAAAAAAAACGCCAGATGAGGAACGAAGGGGCTTTTCTGGCCAAGGCGAGCCTCAGCCACGAACAGGTTCCACGACCTGGATCCATGCAACGGCCCGAAAACCAGAGCCACTGAGCCCCTCCTGAACCCAAACTCGTCCTTGTTTCAGCGCCTCGACTGTACCGCGTGAAGTTGTTGAGCGCGCTGACTCTTTTCGAGACGTGTGGGCCCCGGAAGTCGAGGGCTCTTTGCTGGGACCGGCGTTTCATCATGAGTCGCTCTTTGACTGCCCCAGAGGCCGCCGCCCCAAAGCTCCCGACCCCTTCCCTGGGCCACTGGGGGTAGCTTTCCGCGCCGGATCCGCTAGGGATGGTCTCGGGGCCCGAAGAGAACGGGCCCCAGAGGCCGAAATCGAGGGAAAACGCCATGACTCACACCACCATACACGTCGGTCAGAGAAGTAGTAAACACATGAAGTAGGAAGGCGGATCAAGTAGATTGGGTTCAGGCCCTCCCAGAGAATAACAAAGCACAGCAAAGGAATGCCGATCCTTGAAGTAGGAAGGCGCTTGAAGTAGATTGGGATCTGGGAATCCAGAAATGCCTACTTTCAACGACTGGCGTGAACAATCGGAGATCCGGGGATGTCAGGGAAGAGCTGACTGCTTCAGCTGCCCGGGCAGCCCAGGGCTCTCCTCTCTCGGTCTCGCGCAGTCCAGAAAGCAGCTCCGAGGCCCGAGAGGAAGGGAGTAGCAGGAGGAGAAAATAGGAGTAGGGATGATGAAGAGGAGGAATGAGGAGGGAAGATGATGAATAGGACGAGGGAACATAGGGAGGGACAGTGAAGAGGATGGAGGGAGGATGAGGAGGGAAATGAAGAGGAACATGAAGAGGAGGGAAGATGCTGAAGACAAGGAGAGAAGACGAGGAAGACGAGGAGGATGAGGGGGAGGAGAAGGAGGAGGAGGAGGAGGAGCGCCAGTACCTTCACGAGTCTGTCAAGCTCAGCCTCGACGCCTCAGCCTGAGCCAACTGTATGGCCCAAGCGCGTTGGGCGGAGGTGGAATAATCGAATAATTGTCTGGCATTTTCGTGAGCGCCGCTTTCATGGCCTGGAAGGATTGGTTTTAATCGAGAGGCTAACCGTGCTGTCGACTGACCATATCCTTGGCTATATGGTAACAGGAACATTGCCAGCACGGCAGTTTCTCGAGTTAAATCAAACGCTGGGTAATGAACTGGCAGGCCGAGCCCGAGACGGATGAGGGGACACGGAGACATCACCGCACGAGGAAGACACACGAGGTGGGGGGTCGAGGGCATCGCAAGTAGTGGGCAATGCTGTGTGGACGGTTGTGACAGCCAAATGCACTACTCCAGCACTCCTCGGTCCGCTGTTGTCCACCCCCCAGCGACCGTCTTCAAGTAGGGCCACCGAACAGGAGCAGGAGCACGGAGCAGGATTTCCCGAGCCAGATCCCACCGCTCCTGAAAGCGTGTGGGGGTGGTGGCAAACCAGGACCGCACGCGACGCCCATTCATGAGGTGAAGCTTTTCAGGAAAAGCCTCGTGAGGAATAAACTTGAAACCTGCACACTGCATTTTCGGCTTCCTACCAGCCTCGACTGCTTCTCGCGCGGCCCGGCGCCCATGGCGCTGAGCGGAGCGAAGCTGGGAAGACGAGAGAGGAGGGCGCTTACACGGCTCGCCAGAGCGAAGGGCTTCATAAAACTGTGCAATCGACAATTTCATTCTCCAGCACGGCGCACACCATTCGTTCCGAATCAGGCCCTGTGCAGGGATGTGATCGACAGCTCATGTGAGGAGATAGACAGCATGCTAAAGCCGACGATAAAGAGGGCCCCGTGTAGTGTCGAGGGCCATGGAAGTTGATCGCCAACCATTGGCCATCGCCGTGCAGGCCATGGATTGGGGAGAGGAGGAGGGGGGTCCGGAGCACAGAGAGAGGAACTCCGAGAGGGCGAAGGAGTTGGGTGGAGGTGCAACGCGTTCTGAATTCCCCACAGCTCTTGTTTCTGAAGTGCTCGGCTCAGTGGGTAGAGCTGGCTCAAAGTATGATAGACAAGTGATTACCGACGTATTCTGCAGTCTGGACGTGATATGGCAGACACTTGCAGCATGCCTAGTTCTTTTCCATCGGGAGACGCACTTATGATGTGAGGCGTCCCAGATCAGCGCCAGCGAGGCGCCAGGACCGATGAACGTTCCGAGGTACTCGGCGTGATCCTGACTGCGGAACCCAGTCCACGATGGGGCGAGGCGGCGCTCCAGCGTCTCACGGATGGTCTCGATGTCTCGATCACCTGCTGCGAGGGTCCAGTCCATAGCGGCACGACCACGCACTTAGATGCTGGAAGACTGAGTGAGGCAGATCTGTGCATCCGAGCAAACAGGGGCTCGAGAGCTCGGACGAGGGCAAGAGAGCGCAGAGTCGAGCCAACGAAGCCGGCGCAGGCTCCCATAATCTCTCCCGACAGACCGAAAGGGGAAGCGGCGAGTGAGGAGGCGGAGGAAAGGATCCAGCCCTAGCGCCCAAAGCGTTTCACTAAGCGGGCATCCCTGGGCCCTGGGCCACGCTGGAACGGATGGGGATCGATAGCAGCCTGGACCCGCCAATGCGGCGGAAACCTACCATCTGTGAGTACAAAGCCGAGATCGCTAACTGGTATCTACTCGGGATTCACGCGCTCGAACACTTCAAACAGAAACCAGCGACTCAGGATCGGAAAAGGCGAAGCAACATCGAAACTGATAACAACTGGTTTATCACTCTCTGCGGCAGCATCGAAAGATGCAGCCCGAGCCTCGGTGTCCATGGTCAGAATATGTCGAACATAGTTCCTACTGGGAATGAATTCCTGCTGGACCTGATCGGTGGACGGTGCAGCCACGCCCTTTAGGTTATGATTGATTGCCGATGTTATCGCTCTGATGTCTTGATAATTCAAACTTAGTAGCCTGGTGGAAGCCGGCGCCTTGACTCAGTCGATCATGTCCGATCGCCCCGCGTCTGCCGAACCCTTCGGAAGAAACGCGAAGTCAATCACTTAAGCCTGGCATTAGATAGGATCCGTCGAACATCTTCAGCAAGACGGGGTGAACGTTGTCCATGGCCCGTTGGCTCGGCAGCCAGGCGTCAACGGGCAGCCCGTGTGGGCCAGGGGCAGAACGTCGAGCCTTCCCGAAAAAAACAGCACGGAGCTGTTCGATGGACAGGAGAGGCAAGTCTAGCTTGGGCATGTCAGGCATGGCTTCACACAGGAAGCGAACAATCTCGTCGTCGGCGACGTCTTGAGCGTCGAGCCCCATGCGAAGAGTCGACCAGAGACCAGCACGTACTTTAGCCACCGCACCTGGCTGCCGTGCCACGGGTCCATCAGACCCAGCGCCGTGAACTTGGAGCCCGTCTAATACCAGACGCTTGCGAAACGGAGCCCAAAGGGCGCACGCTTGCGACCAGTATGTTCATGACGTTGGAGTGCTGCACCTTTTGCAGGTTGCTGCTTTTGCCGCACCCTCCAAGCAGCTATTTGGACTTTCCCTCGTGCCACTGAGCGTTCACGTGCTCGTAACAACTAGCGGACTCATCAGGGAGAAGATGAATCACTGCGTGACCATCCACCGAGAGATACTTCTTGCCCAGGTCGCTGAGGTGAATCAGCTTGCGAGCAGTCCACATGTCTTGTCGCCAAATGAATCTGGCGATGCTCCTCATGGTCTGCCGCCAAAGCCTCCAGCGCCTCCGCGATGTCCACGTGCGAAGCCACCATGCCGCAACGGCGTCCGGCGGCAGCAACATGTAGGTGAGACTGTCGTAACGGAGCCAGGTGGCCTGTCGTAACGGCGCCCGGCGGCCTGGCGTAATGGTTCCCGGCGGCCCGTCGTGGCGGCGCCCGGCGGCCTGTCGTAACGGCACTGGCAGCCTGTAGCAGAGTCGTGCCGTCTGGAATCCGAGAGAGCGCGTCCCTGGCAAAGCGAGCGGCGATCTTCATCACGCGTTTGGTCTCCGCGACTTTCAGCTCAGGGGGTAAGACCGAATGTTCGAGATCATCAAGAAAGTATTCCAGGATGGAGGCGTAGGTGGATGACCTGAAGACGTAGGTGGGGATGCTCTGCTCGTAACTCGGGAGAGCCTGCTTCGCAAGAATAATTACGTAGAACGATGACGGCATGATCGCTCGGTTGCCAGTCGGCGTACTCAACTGCCTCACGGTGCACTTCAAAATCGCACACCAGCTGCTCCAGAAATTGTGCAAGGAACGAAATAAAGGCACCGTCGATGCATGTTGCGGTCTCCGTGGCTTTGGCACAACGTGTCGGGATCGCTTGTGCTCTCTATCACCTTATCAGTGAACATGCCTTGCCATTGTTGGGGGTGTTGTCGATACCTTTCCGCAGTGCGAAACGCCTGTCCAGCAGCAGGTTGAACATGCGAGGCCGTGGTAGCCGCAGTGAGATTGAAGTCACCAATCGCAGCGAACGTGTTGTATTCGGGATCGCGTGCAGCCCACTGCGACGACTGGTGCCATACCTCAGCAGTATTGTTCAGCTCCTCTGCCGAGTGGTCGAAGTTGTGGATGTTCACCACCCTGAGCTGGTAGCCTGTTTTGGGGGTAGAGATGTGAACCAACTGGGCGCGACCAGTGACCACCTCATCCTGCCAGGAGCGAGGGCGGTCTGCAGGTGGCAAATCAGCAAGCACTTCAGGGGGGCTGAAGGTACCAGCAGAGCGACACAGCCAAAGCCAGCCAGAGGAGGAGGAGGAGGAGGAGGAGGAGGAGGAGGAGGAGGAGGAGGATGCGGAGGAGGCGGAGGAGGGAGGAAAAGGAAGAAATCTCGAAGCCTTCGCCGCCGCCGCCTCAGCGGCAGGCTCCTCGGAGGAGGGAGCAGGAGGAGGGGCACGCCGTGCAGACCGTGGGAAGGAGGAAGGGAACCGGATCACGTTGCAGTGGCACACGATCACCTCGAACGTGTGCTCCGGCTCGGGCGCCTTCTCCGCGCCCTCGGCCTTCTCGGGCGCGGCGGCCGCGCCGTCCGGGGCGGGCGGCTCCGCCGGCCGCTCGGGGTAGTAGTCGGCGCCCGTGCGCTCGGGCTCCTCCCCCTGCTTCTGCTGCCTCTTCCGCGCCCGCTCCTCCTTCTCGCGCTTCTTCTGCTCCCTGTCAGGGGTCTTTCATAAACCCCCGGGCAATAATGGGAAAATTAATCATTGTTCCGCCGGCTTATTGACGGATTGGGACCCCGACAATAATTGGAAATTGTATATTCTCGTCGTCGGATGCATGAGAGGTCATGAGAAGTCCTCAAAAATCCCATCGCTCAACGCCTGGCGGCCTCCTCCTCCTTCTCCTCCTCCTCCTCCTCCTCCTCCTCCTCTCCTCTCCGGGCGATTTCGAGGAGGAGGAGGAGGAGAAGGAGGAGGGGGAGGATGAGGAGGAGGAGGAGGACGAGGGAGGATGGGGGAGGGGGAGGAGGAGGAGGAGGAGGAGGAGGAGGAGGAGGAGGAGGAGGAGGAGGAGGAGGAGGAGGAGGAGGAGGGGAAGGAGGACGGAGGGGAAGGAGGGGGGAGGGGAAGGAGGAGGAGGAGGGACAAGTTGCTATTCCCCGCCGAGAGCTGTGGGGGGTGTGCACCCTTAAAGACCCGGCAGGCACACCATGCGATGATTAGGGAATCCTGTTATGAGGCAACTGCAGCCAGAGGACTCATGTACTGGTGAGATTTTGCCGTGGGCGGCTGGAGCGCTCGCGCTGAGAACAAACCGGGGACTGCAACCTGCGCCGCGTGCGGCTGGAAACAATCGCGCTGGATAAAAATGCATGGCCGGAACCCACGCCCTGCGCGGCGGGAACGCACGCGCTGGGCAAAAGTGCATGGCTGGAACCGACTCCTCGCGCGGCTGGAACGCTCGCGCGGCTGGAACGCTTGCGCTGGGTAAGAGTGCATGTCTGGAACCCACGCCGCGTGCGGCTGGAACGCTCGCGTTTAATAAACATGTATGGTTGGAACCCACGCCGTTGGCGGCTGGAACGCTTTCGCTGAGCTGGAATCTACGCCGTCGGCGGCTGGAACACTCACGCTGGGTAAAGATAAAAAGCTGAAGCGGGCGGGTGGAGCACTTTCGGAATTGAGGGCTGAAACCACCTCTTCTAGAACATTCCCCCTCGTAGAAGTGGAAGGCTGGCACCTCACCCGTGGCGTGGGCGGCTGAAGCACTCTCCCTCGTAACACTTGAGGGCTGGAACCACCCCTTCTTGTCGGCATCGGCGGCTAGAACACTTCCCCTCGTAAAAAGTACGGGCTGAAGCCTCAACCGGCCTACGGCTTTCTGAATATGAATTAGCCAAGGGGGAGGGGGCTGACGGGGGCACCGGCTGGTTTCGCCGGGGCTGGTTTCGCCGGGGCTGGTTTCGCCCGACGCTGGCTTCGCCGGCGCTGGTTTCGCCCGACGCTGGTTTCGCCGGCGCTGGTTTCGCCCCGCTGGTTTCGCCCCGCTGGTTTCGCCGGGGCTGGTCTCGCCGAGTCCGCTGCCGCCGCCGTCGTCGTCGTCGTCGTCGCCGTCGCCGTCGCCGTCGTCGTCGTCCTCCTCCTCCTCCTCCTCCTCCTCCTCCTCCTCCTCCTCCTCCTCCTCCTCCTCTCCTCCTCGTCCTCCTCGTCCTCCTCCTCCTCCTCCTCCTCCTCCTCCTCTCCTCCTCCTCCTCCTCGTTCCTCCTCCTCCTCCTCCTCCTCCGGCCCTCGCCTCTTCATCCTGGCACTCCTCCTCCTCCTCCTCTTCCTCCTCCTCCTCGTCCTCGTCCTCGTCCTCCTCGTCCTCCCCCTCCTCGTCGTCCTCCTCCGCCTCCTCGTCGGCTCGGGTCGGGTCGGGCGGACCCTAACGGGCGGGTCGGGTCGGGTCGGGTCGGGTGGACCCAACGGGCGGGTCGGGTCGGGCGGGCGGGACATTAAAGTGTGGTGCATAATCGAGAGGGCACGCGAGACCCTAACGGTCGGGTCGGGTCGGGTCGGGCGGACCCTAACGGGCGGGTCGGGTCGGGTCGGGCGGGCGGACCCTAACGGGCGGGCCGGGTCGGGCGGGCGGGACATTAAAGTGTGGTGCATATAACAGAAGGCACGCGAGAACCCTAACGGTCGGGTCGGGTCGGGTCGGGCGGACCCTAACGGGCGGGTCGGGTCGGGTCGGGACGGGCGGACCCTAACGGGCGGGTCGGGTCGGGCGGGCGGGACATTAAAGTGGGGTGCATAATCGAGAGAGCACGCGAGACCCCTAACGGTCGGGTCGGGGCGGGTCGGGCGGACCCTAACGGGCGGGTCGGGGCATTAAAGCGTGGTGCATAATCGAGAGGGCACGCGAGAGCCCTAACGGTCGGGTCGGGTCGGGGCGGGAGGTCCTAACCCTCTTCCCTCCTCCCTCCGTCATGCCCTCCCTCAGCCACCTCCTGCACCACCTCCATCTCCTCCTCCCCCACCTCCCCAACCTCCTCCTCCTCCTCCTCCTCCTCCTCCTCCTCCATTTCCTCCTCCTCCTCCTCCTCCTCCTCCTCCTCCTCCTCCCCCTCCTTCTCCTCCTCTTCCTGCACCTCCTCCAACAACCGGGCGAAACCAGCCGGGGGACACCAGCCGATCGAAACCAGCCCGGGCGAAACCAGGGTCGGGCGAAACCAGCCCCGGGCGAAACCAGCGGCTGCCCTGACGGGCAAGGGGGCGGGGACCCCAGCATTGTATCCACGCCTCGCTCCCAAACTGGGTCAGTCCGCGCGCTCGTCTGTCGGTCAGTCGGTCCGTCGGGCGTCGTCGTCTGTCGTCGTCGTCTCGGTCCATCGGTCGGTCGGTCGTCATCGGTCGTCATCGGTCGTCGTCTCGGTCGGTCGGTCGGTCGATCGGTCGTCGTCGGTCGTCGTCGTTTCGGTCGGTCGGTCGTTCGGTCCGGTCGTCGGTCGTCGGTCGGTCGGTCGTCGTCGTCGGTTGTCGTCGTCTCGGTCGTCGGTCGTGGGTCCACAGCCAGAACCCGCTCACGCCATGGCGCGCTCTGAAAGCGCGCCACCCGAGCCAACGCGGCTACGCATGCAATGAGGGTGAGAACGAGAAATCTGACCTAGAATCTGCCCGATATGATATGCTCATTGACATCCAACTACCTGGTAGAAGACGAAGAAGAAGAAGCAACGGCATGGACATAAACTGTCGACGGCCCGCGCGGAGCTGAAAACGTTTCCGTTCGTGCTGTTTGCTCTTCTTCGATCTGAGCTTCGAAGGGTACCCCAGGGCTCTGCGGCCATACCGGGAGATCAGGGAGTGTCGTGTGGCAATCGTTGGAAGGCCAATCTCTTCTTCGGTGTGCTTACTGCACCACGCACGGGAGGCACCGGCTGCACAGCCGCCGTTCCCCAGGGTACAGCCGCTCTGGGTCCTTTTGCACCGGCTGCACAGCCGCCGTTCCCCGGGGTACGGCCGCTCTGGGTCCTTTTGGGCATGGCATGGTGTGAGGCCCCCAGACCTCCGACGATGTTTCCTGGTCTCAGGGGCCCGTCGTCGGGCCCTGGGGCCGTACAAACGGGCCTGGGACATCTGCCTCCGCGGGATAGGGGTCGGGACCTCTTGGGCGGCACGTTGAGCCAGTCGTAATGTCGGATGTCTGGGTCCCCAGACCCCCGACGTCATGATTTCTTCATTACGTCGACCCCTGGAGGTCTCGACCCATTCCCCTGGACCGGTTCTTCAGCCTGAGTCGTTTTTTGACGGTCTCGAGGGCCGGTAAGGGCCCCCAGAGGCTGAAAATAGCGGAAAACCTCCCATCATGACGTTTTCATTTCCCGAGGGGGTCTGGGTCTGTAGGGGGGCCCTCTGACTGCGGGCCTCAACTGCCTCTCGGCGAGCCGCTTGTGGTCCACGTCTCGGTGGACGTAGCGCCGGAAGGCGAGCTCGATGCGCGCGCTGTCCTCCCACAGGGTGGAGGCGCGGATCTCGCCCTTGGCCCTCTGCGGGTGCGGGGCGCACGGGGAGCCCTCCGCGAGCAGGGGGTCCGGCGGCTTGAGCTCCACGCAGGGCATGCACTCAGCGAGGATCTCTGCCGTCTGCCGGGCCCGCAGGACGTCGCTGCTCCATATCCCGCTGAACTTCACCTCGTACGCCCCGTAGCGGTCCTTGAACGTGGCGCCGCTGGCCGCCGCCAGCCGCTTGCCGAGGAGACGGGACTGCTGCACCCCGAGCTCGGTCAGCCCGTGCTCGTCGCTCTCCAGGTCGTACTGGCCATGGCGGATGAAGAGGAGATGCCGGATGCGCCCCTGCGCCTTCAATTTTGGGGTGCCCTCTGGTGGCGTCGGGGGCGCTCGGCCGTCCCAGTCCGCGTCCCACTCGCGCGTCCACAGCCCGCACTGGTCCGACGCCCACAGGAAGGGCAGCTGCTCGGGCCCGTCGCCCTCGCCCTGGCACTGCGCAGCCCCGGCGCTGGCCGCGCATGCGACCGCGCCGGCAGCGAGGCGCCCGAATCGGCCGCGCTGGCCGCCGCCGTGGCCGCGGTCGCCGCCGTCCGCGCGAGGGCCCGCTGCCGCAGCCGCCCAGCCCCCGGCACGGCTCGCCGCCGCCGTGCGGGCGGGTCTCGCGAGCCCGCGCGCCCAGCGCCGCGCGCCCGCGGCGGCCGCCATGGGGCGCGACGCCGGCCCAGGTCGCAGGATGGCCGATCGGGTGTTGCTGTAGAAGTGCCCCTGACCCCAGACCCCCTCGGGTGCTGAGAAAATCATTGCGGGAGGCTGATTGCTCTTTTCGGCCCGCGGGGGCCCTCACCGGGCCTCGGGACCGTCAAACAACGACGCAGCATTCCAGACCTCTGGTGGTCGACGTTGTGAAAAACTCATGACGTCGGGGGTCTGGGACCCACGGCCCCCAGGGCCGCCACGGCCTCCAGGGCCTCTAGGGAACCTCTCTCGAAGCCCAGGGGGGCCAGGGGCTCCAAGATGGAGCGGCAAGCTGACCTCCTCCTCCTCCTCCCCCTCCTCCTCCTCCTCCTCCTCCTCCTCCTCCTCCTCCTCCTCCTCCTCCTCCTCCTCCCCCTCCTCCTCCTCCCCCTCCATCCTCCTCCGCCTCCTCCTCCTGCCTCCTCCTCCTCTTCCTCCTCCTCACCTGGGGCCAGGGGCACCCTTCGCATCCCCCGCGTCGTGTCGGCAGGCCCCGACCTCCTTGCGCGGCGACAAGATCACGACGGACCTGGGCCTCTGGCCACTCCTGGCCGTTCTTGGCCTCTAGCGGCCCTTGCCGGGCCCCCGTGGGCTGTCGAAAACTGGCCCAGGGGCAGACGGGTCCCGGGGGAAGGGTCGGGACCTCCAGGGGATCACGCTGCGAAGAAGTCATCGCAGGGCGTCGGAGGCCTGGGGGCGAGTCAGACGGGCCTGGGTTCCAAACGCAGCTCCACGGAGATGGGGCGGCAGGGGGCGGCAAGGGAAAAGCAGGGGATCGCACGGGCCAGTGCCAGGACGCAAGCAGTCCACCGCGAGCGGCTCCGAGCTAACCCCCTTTGATTGGCACGGAGCGAAGTATTAGACAAGTAGCGTTCGGGCCACTATATGTATGCCTACGCGTTCCAACCAGGAAACGCTCAGAGGAGACATGGCCAATCTCCGCCATGGGGAGGAGATTCGCCAAGTTAACCCTTCAAGAAGGAATTCCGTTGTCGCCAGATCTCTGACTGCAGCTAGAATCCGATAGCGATACCACGCATGCAATTAGAATCGCAGGCGTGGGGCGAAGCAACTCAGCCTGCGTTCCTGAACTCCAGATACGCGCGCTGAGGCAAGATGCGATCGAGGGGCTTCTGGATGAAGTGCCACCACGGGGGTGGTGGGAGCGGGGGAGGCCACAGCAAGAGCGGGCGAGGCGAGCGGCGAAGTCAACAGTTCAGTAGGCATTGCCTGGGAGTGGCAGCAGTGCGGCTGGGGCCAACGAGGGTGGCAGCAGTGACGGCGGCAGGAACGGGGTGAGAATACGAGGGATGGTGTGGGCGGGAGTCGCAGTAAAAAGGGGCAGGGTGAGGCGCCCGATCCGCTGCTTCGAGGGAGCGCTGGGAGCCTTCCGATATCGGGAAAACAGTGAGTGAGGCCGCTGTCAACCTGCTCCTCCTGATCCAGCTGCTCCTCCCTCTCCTGCGCCCCGAATGGGGACATCTGTGGGGCTAGCACCTTGCGTCGGAAAGCCATGCTTCCGTCCACGTCTGCGACGGTGCCGTCGTGCAGCGAATGCAATGCTCGCAGCAGGGGTGCATTCAGGACAAAGGTGGGTGGCGACAGAGAGCGGAATACAGAGAAATTTGGCTTGGGGTCTCATGCCCCTCACCAAGCCCCGCCTGCGCCGAAATGTGCTGCTGGTGATGCTGCTGTCGTGGGTGACCGTGGTACCGCTGCTGCTGGTGCTGCCCGAGGTGATGCTGCCGGTCGCAGAACTCCTCTGGAGACTGCCGTTGCTGAGGCTGCGGCCGCTGGAACTGCCGCTCTCCAAGGTGTCCCGGCTGCCGGCGAGGACTGCGTGACGCCCTCGCGCTGGGCTGCTGCTGCCGCCGCTGCCGCTGCGGCGGCAGCTCCCCCGGCAGCAGCAGCCGCGCGACCTCCTCGCCCGCAGCCTGCCGGCACACGGCGAGGCGCCGCCGCTCTGGGGGCGGCCGTGGCCGTGCTGGCCCCTGCCACGGCGGCGGGCCCTGCGGAGGCCGAAGCCGAGGCCGCTCGCACGGCCCAGCATCCCCGGGCGGCGCCCGCTCCGGCCCGGCCGTGGGGGACCGCGGTCTCCGCGGGGCGCGCGCCGGCGCCGCTCCGCGCCAGATCCCGCTGGTGGGGCTCCTGAGGCCCCTGTGGTGCGCGGGCGGGCGCGGCGGCCGAGGCTTCGGCTGCAGTGACGGCCTCGCTGGCGCCGCGCCGGCGCCGAGCTCGCCCCGCACGCGCGGGGGCGGAGAGGGCGGCGAGCGGGGCGCGGCGCGTCCGGCTCTGTCCGCGGCTGGGGCGCAGCCTTGGCTCAGCGACAGCAGCCCCGCCGCTTGCGCCGCCAGCGCGTCCTCTTGGCATCCAGGGAAAGCTACACGGCGCAGCGCGTCACGGTGGAGGTCCCGGCGACACGCCGTGCCGCTGTGCATTGCAAGCGGATGGCGTGACGCTCGGCTCGGCAGAGCGGGAGGCTGGGAAAGGCTCGGGCCGATGATGCTCGGGGGCTGGGGCGTGGTCAGCGTGTCGCCGGCGGCGCAATAATCTTTCATGTCGGGAGGTCGCCCAGCTTCGCGTGTCGCGCAAAAGTGGCGCGCGGCCACCTTCGCGCCCTCGCGCAGCCGCCCTGGGGAATGGCAGCGCTCCAGCCCAGGCTGCGGCGCGCGATGCGCGAAGCGCGCGGTCCTTCGCAACGCCCCTGGGGAGCACCTAGGACCTATACGAACGGGGCCCCGAAGGAAACGGGTCCTGGACCCCGAGGCGGTGCCCCGAACCGTCACTTTGGGGGTCCCAGGGGCCCGTGGAAGGCCCAGGGAGGCCAGAGCACGGCGAAACGCCTCCGGCACCCGCTTCCATGCGGACCCCCGTCCCCCCCCTTTAATCCAGTCCTCGAAGCCCAAGGCGCGCGGGCGAGCAGGGGCTGCGGGCAGTGCGTGTCGCTGCTGCTGCTGCCGCCGCTGCTGCTGCTGCTGCTGCTGCTGCTGTTGCTGCTGCTGCTGCTGCGGCGCGGCGCGGGCTCCACCGAAGCCCCGCGACGCTGCCTGGGGCGCGCGCCCGCCTTCGGCGGCGCGGCGTGGGGACCTCCCGCTTCAGATGGCAAACAGCCCCAAAAGGGAATCTGGCCCTGAGATGAATCAGCGTAGGGGCCTGGCGACAGACGGTGCAGCCTTCACGTCTTTCCTATGTTGTCTATGGTTGTTGCTTTGTTTGTGTGGTTGAGTCTTCATGATTGGAAGTTGCACCCTGTTGCTTGTAAGAGGAACCCTTGAGAGTCAACGTGCACCCGGGCCCCCCGCACGACAACAACAACAACACCACCACCAACAACAACAACAACACCACCAACACCAACAACAACAGCAACAACAACAACACCAGTAACAGCAGCAACACCAACAACAACAACAACACCAACACCACCACCAATACTACCACCAACAACAACAACCACAACAACAACAACAATAATTGTAAGACTGTTCGCCCTTATATACTCGAGTGTCCAATAACTCGTTTTTCCTCAACCCTCGATACCCGCCCTCTTCGTCTTCGATCGAACCCCTTTTGGGGGGTATAGCTTTCTTCCCTGCAGGCCGGGCCCCGGCAAGCTGCAGGGCGGCCGCGGACCGTCGGCCTGGCCAGCGGCAGCGCTGATCGGCGGGGCGGCCGCGGACTGTCGACCCGACCCCAAGAGGGACGGACAGGGGACCGACGACGACGACGACGACGACGACGACGGCGACGACGACGACGACGGCGACGACGAGCGAAAGCGAGAGCGAGAGAGAACGACAGCAGGGCCACGAAGGGCACGAAGTAGGCCACGAAGGGCGACAGCGGGGACACGAAGGGAATGCGTATGGGGCCACGAAGAGCGCAAACGAGCGGGGGTCACGAAGTGCAGATAAGGCGGGGCCACAAAGGCAACTATGGGGCCATTGAGGGTAGCAACTGGGCCACGTAGGACAGTGAGGGGGACACAAATGGCGACAGCGGGGCCACGAAGGGCATGCACATAGGGCCACAACTGGCGCGACTCCTGGGTGCCTGGGTGTCGGGAGCGCGGCGCTTGGGCAAATTGCAAGAAATTCCAACGCAAGGCCATTCTTCAGTAAATTGCACGCAAGTCTCCAGCGAGAGCGCGACTCCAGAGCGCCGGGAGAGCGATTCCTGAATAAATAATAAGGAAATCCCCAGCGAGAGCTCGATTCCTGAATAAAATGCTAAGAGGTCTCGGGCGGGAGCGGGGGTCCTGGCTGAATTGCAAGGAAGTCTCAAGCGGGAGCCGTTGTTGTTGTAACCTGGGGGCCAGGGGCCCAGTTTGAGCATCAAGACTTTCCTTGTCAAAAAACAGGGTGCGAGCGTCGAGGGGCACACTTTGATTTAGAAAAAACCGTATGCACCGGTGGGGGGGGGCTCAACAATGACAATAATAATTCTTCAGAAATGAGAATTCAACAACAACAACAACAACAACAACAACAATCATTTTACCCGAACGCGTGGTGTTCTCCCCAGTGCCAGGGTTTTCATACGACACCAGGCAATACCCCCACTTCGTGGGGGGGCATTACAAGCTCTACCAAATATCCAAACGACTCTTCGCGACCACCCAAACCCAGCTTCCCGCCCTATGACGTTGGGACACTTCACTTCGTGGCGTGCGGACGACCGTGGCTACTACACTGGCGTGGGGTACACACCGCGTGCGCGCGCAAAAAACGAATGTGTCCCGCATGGTATTATTTGACAGGGATGATGGCCCTGGCAGGTGCGCAACCGTTGTCGCAGAAGTTCGAAAAAGTTGCTCGCAAAAGCCCGTTTGACAGAAATGTTTAAAAAGTGTTGGGTTTCCTACGAATCCGCAAGAGCGCGCGGGATGAGATTTTGACATTTTTTTGTTGAAAAACCATTGGTTTTTTGATGTTTTTATGTTAAAATCGCTCCGAACACTAAGCTTTTGGAAGGATTTCGTCTTGCGCGCGCGAATGTCCACTTTACCTTATTTTTTGCAAGGGATTCTTGAAATTTGATTATATTAGAACAAGAAATGTCATTTTATAGTGTTTTTTGCAAGGGAAAACGGATTACAACAAAACAACCGGATCTGGATGACATCGAATTACCTGAGGCTTCCTCACGAAAATGATGAAAACGTGGCTGCGGCCTAGGCGCGGCGGGGGGGGCGCGCACCAGGGGGCCCAACAATAATTATTCTTTAGAATTAATAATGTTCAACAACAGCAACAACAACAACAGCAACAACAACAACAGCAACAACAACAACAACCATTTTAAGGCTGTACGCTCTTACTTGCCCGCGAGTCATTCAACACGTATACCCTACACCCTCGATGCCCGCCCTCTTCGTCTTCGATCACACCCCTTTCGGGGGGATTATTTCTCTTTGCTGGGGCCGGCGGGCTTAGACGTACGGGCAAACCGGAACGGGCGGACAATCCTTCGGGGGCGTACATCTCTCTGCCCGCCATTGGAATTGGCGCGGGCCCTGCAAGAGGAGGAGGGGAAGAACGAGGGAGAGTGGGAGGAAGGGGAGGGGGAAGGACGAAGGAAGAGGGAAGATACCACGTTGTGAAGGCGTCCTTGGCGCGCGCGTGGTTCCTGAGCGCCGAAACGCAATTCCAGAATAATTTGTGAGGACGTCGCACGCGAGAGCGCAGTCCTGAGTACATTGTGAAGAAATCTCGGGCGGAAGCGGGGGCCCTGACTAAGTTGCGAGGAAGTCTCAAGCGGGAGCGCCGTTCCTGAGCAAATTGCACGGAAGTCTCAGGCGGGAGCGGGGGTCCTCACTAAATTGCGAGGAAGTCTCAGGCGGGAGCGCCGTTCCTGAGTCAATTGCGCGGAAATGTCAGGCAGGAGCGGGGGTCCTGAGTAAAATTCGAAGAAGTCTCAGGCGGGAGCGCCGTTCCCACGTAAATTGCACGGAAGTCTCAGGCGGGAGCGGGGGTCTTGATTACATTGCGAGGAAGTCTCAGACGGGAGCGCCTTTCCTGAGTAAATTGCGCGGAAGTCTCAGGCGGGAGCGGGGGTCCTGAGTAAAAATCGAGGAAGTCTCAGGCGGGAGCCGTTGTTGTTGTAGCCCGGGGGGCAGGGGCACAGTTTGAGCAGGAAGACTTTCCTTGAGAAAAAACAAGGTGCGAGCCCCGGGGGTGGCACTTCAATCGAAATAAATCAATGTGCACCGGTGGGGGGGGATCAACAATAATTATTCTTCAAGAATGAGAGTTCAACAGCAGCAGCAACAACAACAGCAACAACAACAATCAGTATAAGACGGTTCACTATTATCTGCTCGCGTCCCGTTCAAGACGTATATCCCAAACCCTCGGTACCCGCTGTCTTCGTCTTTGATCGTATTTTCTTATGGCTATATCCTTCTTACCTGCCACGTGTATTTCGTGCACCCTTGAAGGCATGGGAAGAGAGGACGGATGGAAGGAAGGGACAAGAAGGAGGAGGATGGAACACGAGACAGAGTAGCAGGAGAGGAGGCTAGGAACAGACATCACGTGGCAGAACCAGACGGGGAGATCGGGCGGGTAGACCCAGATGGGTGGGTCGGGAAGGCGGACCCAGGCGGCCAGGTCGAGCAGGCGGGTTGCTGAAGCGAGAGTCATGCGTGAATCGCGAAGAAGTCTTGACCGATATTACAATTCCCAAATAAATTGTAAGGACATCCACAGCGAGAGCGTGATTCCTGAGTATCGAAGGCGCGGCGTCCGAATAAATTGCGATGAAGTTTCACGCGGGAACGCGATTCCTGCATACATTGCGAGGAAACCCTGGGCAAAAGGGAGATCTTCGGAGGAATACCTCTGGAGGGGATATCAATCGGAAGCCGTTGTGGTTGTAAACCGGGGGCCAGCAACCCAGGTTGGCGGCACCCTTTCTCGCCCAAGATGGAGCCAAGAGAGCCTCTGATGCCCCAAGATGGTCTCCAGTATGCGCAAGAAGGCCTCCGAGGGCCCGAGATAGTCGACTGACGATGGCTCAAGATGGCTTCCAACATGCTCCACGAGGTCTCAAAGACCGCTCCAAGACTGCCCCAAGTGCTCTCGGAGCCCCCCGCAGGGCCACCCAGGGAAGCCAACACCGCTCAAGCACTTGATGGGAATCGGTGGTTCTCGCCGTCTCGTCTTTTCGCTTCCGATTGGGCTCAAGATGGCCCACAAGAGCCCCACGAGGGACGAACGCCTCTTTGACGGCGCCGAGAGCGCCCAAGAGCGCCCTAGCCCCCCCTCCTTTGATCCATGGCCTCCAAGATGGCCCTAAGAGGCCATCCAGGGCTCCCAAGACAGCCCCACGACCCACCAAGAGAGCCCCAAGAGGGCCACAAGACCCCTCAACGAGGCCCTCAAAGGGCCTCGAGACAGCCCCAAGAGGACGCCCAAAAGGCTTCAAGAAGACCCAAAGATGGCTGCCAGAGTCCTTGTCCTCGTCCTCGTCGTCGTCCTCCTCATTATCCTCCTCCTCCTCCTCGTTCTCGTCATCTTCGTTCTGCTCCTCCTCTTAGTCATCCTCTTCCTCGTCCTCCTCCTCGTCCTCGTCGTCCTCGTCCTCCTCCTCCTCCTCCTCGTTCCCGTGCTCGTCCTCCCGCTCCCTCTCCTGCTCCTCCTCCTCCTCCTCCTCCTCCTCCTCCTCCTCCTCCTCGTCGTCCTCGTCCTCCACCTGCTCCACCTAGTGTCTCTCTGGGCAGAGGCTATGCTGCACGCTCCTGCACTTCCCCGAAAGAAGGCCACTTGCTCAGGCACCGCTTCAGGATCTGCCCGGCCCGTTTCCCGTCGGCTCTCGTCGGAAGCGTTTCCGTATGGGCTGGTGAGGATACCCGAAGCGTGAAAAATCTATGTTTAGGTCGGGCCTGTCCCCCTACAGGGTGATTTTGGGCGAAAACAACCCAAAACATGTTCAACAAATGCTCACAAATTATCCAGTAAACAATCCACGAACTATTTTTGACTATTTTTGAATTTTCCTCCTGTAGAGGGACAGGCCCGACTTAAATCTATGTGAGAATCGCGCTCTCACAGCTCAGAAGTGTTTTCGCCTGTAGGATCGCGGCGGGGGGGGCAACAAATTACGGTCAAAGCCGGCGCTGGCTCAAATTCCTGTTGCCATCTCCACCGTCAAGTCGCGAACTTCTCTGTGTCAAAGATGAACATAGATCGACGTCCATCTTCAACCTTGCACGCCGCCGGTTCCTTGCGGGGGCCTTTTGGGGATCATCGGAGCGGCCTCTTTTGAGTGTGTTTCTGTGGGCTCTGCAGGGCCTCGCGTGACCTCTGGGCCCTCTTGGGGCTCTCTTGGGAGCCGCCAAGGGGTTTCTTGGGGGTGTGTTGGGCGCGTCTTGGAGCTTCGATGCGGAAACACATTCCCAACCAAACTCCTTGATAGCATTGACATCAAAGTGCGCCAAATATACCGTCTACCGTCCAGGACGGCATCGTCCGGTATGTGTATGGGTTGTCTAGATCCGACCACTGGTCAAACTTGACAACAGGCTTCGTCTTCCAACGGTTGCATTGTCAGACGACTTAACCAATGACTGCTCAATGGGGCACATCTGCCTTCAGCATCAGATCTCTTCTCCCTTCCAAGTATGCCTGTGGCATCGCACCAGCACCGAACAGGAGTACCGTATCTCATTCGCTCGGTGCCTTGTTCAATGCCGCCTGTCTCCAAAGGAGATTCGCTGTCTGAACTAGATTTCCTTCATTCCTGACGGTTGCTCTGGTTCCTTTCGGCGTGATCAGTCTAGTCCCCCTCCTCACCATCCTGCTTTGAAGCTGTGGGACGAAGACCGTGGCGAGATCAAAAAAGCTTCCTTCTTCGCACCCCTGGACAGGTATCCAGACGCCTCTGGAAGCGCCCGGAGGTGCCCGAACATCTGACTTCGCGCTCTTGTTCAACAGCGTCGCTCCCCAGAGGTCTGGTCCGAGGAACAGCTTTTCATCCTCAGCCATTCTGTGGACGGCCCCACGGCCCGAAAAAGGGCCCAATGAGGGCAGATCAGTGCGGACAGCCTTCTGCCGTTTTTTTTCTCTGCGCGGCGCGAGGCTATCAAGGCACCCCAGGAGGCCCCCGGAATGCCCACCGAGACCCCTGGGGCAAACACGTTCGACGAAACCTCGATCCTCGATCCTCGCCCCTCTCTCGGACGCGCCCCCGCGATCCCCGACGCCTCGAGCCGGGCACTTGGCCCAGGTCTCTCTGGCCTGCCAGCATTCGACGCTCCTTCTCCCCCTCGTGTTCCTCCTCCTCCCTCGATCCTCGATCTGCGAGGTTTCATTGGTTTGAGGATCTGCCACATAACCAGTGGGCTCCTGAGGCCTCTGAGGACATCCAGGGACCAGCAGCACGTACGGCATTCTCTCTTTCCTCTTCATCACCCTCTTGTTTCTCCTTTTCCTCCTCCTGCTTCTCCCGTCCTCCTTGTCATCCTTCTCTTTTCTCCCCTGCTCTCTTCCTCATCTGCTCTCGCTCCCGCCCCTTATGAGATAAGGCCAAACACCTGCAGAGAGCCGAGCGTATGGAAAATCGTCCTTCCTTTATGACTTGAGCATGACCTCGCCTGGTCACCAGTCGGCATGGCCAGAGCCCATAGCCTGACCTCGAAAACGCCATCTCACTCTCTTCCTACAAACGAAATGATGTCCGCTTCAATGACGCAATGGTGCAACGCCATCGCATTTTATTCGCACGATGTGCTGATAGCCTGGACTGCCAACTACACATCATAAAGAGCACCAGGGTGAAAGGTGTTCTTCCACCGCTGGCTATACGCAATCTCGGTGCGCAATATTTCACACGCGTCGCGAAGAGTCTACCCGAATCGGTACTCCCAGCATGTAGTGGTGCCAGATGGGCATGGTGTCTTACGCACGTGGGAGGCATGGGCCTTGGGAACACCAGTCGGTTGGAAGACAATTCGCACCACCATATGGGAAACACGTTTAGGAGAGAGAAAGAAAGAGAGAGAGAGGGAGAGAGAGAGAGAGAGAGCAAGAACACCAGGAAACAAAGCTTTACTTAGAGAGGCACGCACACCAAGAGGACGATCTCTGTATAAAATCAGATGTAAGTATGTACACATCTATGCAACTATAGACACACACATGTGCATGTATCCATATGTATATGTATATATAGAGAGAGAGAGAGAGAGCGCGACGTATCGATACATTCATGTACTATGTATATATGTATGTATAAGGATGGTGGCAGAGAGACATAACGATAGAGACAGAGAGATAGGCGGGATGGAAAGATAACGCAATGTGACCATCTTGAAGACACACTGCGTACGTTGCACTATGGCACCAGTAATGTGTTGCTGCCAGGGCGTGAGCCTCAGGTCTCTTCTTTCTTCAGCCGCGACAACATGTACTGCTGCATCGGGGTATTCTCATCCGCCTGAACGCGTGGGCTCTGAAACACATCAACCGCATTCTCTGAGCACGCGCTGGAGCTACCCCTCTTTTCCTGCATTCCGTCGCCGGTCTGCCCGCTTCGCACTGCCAGCAACTTGCTGGCCACTATTTGGCGAAATCGGGACTTCAGACATGGTCTGGGGGCCCACAGGATGGTGCAGTACCCTGAGACCCTTCTCCATTGGTGTCTTCTGCGACCCTCATCTCGCGCTAACTTTGCTTGGACCCCCCGTTTGCGGTTTCGATAGGAGGGTTAAGAAACGCAGAATCCTCCAGCGGGTGGCCCTGCCAGGTAAACGTTCTGACCGCGCACGATCAATACGACAGACATCTGGCCGATGAGTAAAGAAGCGTGCTATGCTAAACCATGGGGCGATACCGCAATCCTCAGCGATACAATGCCGTCCAACGCTATGGCGAGATGCGACACTCTATTCAATGCTATGCGATGCGGGTGACCTGCACTGCATCTTAAACAAAGCATTGCTATGGTATGATGGCCGCGCCACCCAGCTGTGTCGTGATCTGGCCGCAAAATATACATTTCGGGGCTCTCTGAACGGCCTCTTGGGGAGTCTTGGGGGCCTCTTAAGTGGGCCGTCTTCAGACCATCGAGGTTCCTCTTGGAGCGCTCTTGTGCTGCCTTTGGTCTCTCTTGCGCCTCTCCGATGACCTGCTCGCCTTGAATCTGCTCGCAAGGCTCGGCAAGGCGCGCTCGGAGGCCCGGAAGGGCCAGCGGACCTTTTCCAAGGGCGTCCAGGGTGCCGCCGAGACGTCCGAAAGGGCGCGTGGGGCGTCCCTGGAGGGGTGTCCGGTTCAGGGGGTGGGGGAGGGGGCTGGGTGGGTGGGGGTCCCGGTAACAGAAATTTCGGATAGGAATATATTACTCTTCAAATTTGCTCGAGATGTCTGTCTGTGGACGGCGTGACGTCGTGACGCCATGACGACGTGATGCTGCGGAGCTGTGGCTCGGCGGGATACTCACGGCCATTCGGGGCTTCTATGGGCCCGGTGGCCGCGATATGCAGGGCTGGCGAAGCGGGACCCCCAGGGAACACCAAGGCCACTCGAAGCCTTGCATCCGAGGTTTTCTGGGTGGGCGAAGACCACCGGAATCCCTAGGAACCGCCTAGGACACTTGGGGCCCGACGGCCGCGGCATGCTGGCTGAGCGAGGCGGGCCGGGAGCTCATGCCTAAAACTGAGCAGCCCCGCAGTGTCAGGTGAGGAAGCAACTTTGCCCGGCTGGATGGTGGGGGTGAGGAGGGGCAAACGTGTAAACGCATAGGTCTGCCTCGCTGTGCCAGTTGTTCTGCCTGCGCTGCCTCGTCATAGAAGCCGCGCTCGAATGTCGCGGCTGTTGTGACTGACGCGGGCGCCGCGGCGACTGGAAAACTGTGCGCACCAATTGCTAAGCGCATCTGGACCACATAGAAGTGTATTGGAATTGCTATCGACGGAGCAATGTTGACATGTTGCCAGGCTTGGAGCACAACCCGCAGCCTTCTCGATCCTGTACTCCATGGACATCGGGCTATTCTGTGGTCGGATCTCCAGCCACCGCCGCACCTTGTGCGCTGATGCCACTTACAACATGCTTCAAACTGGTCGAACTCCTAGGTCATTCACTTGTTCGAGACAGGATAGGGGACATTTTGTGTGCGCTTGATGGCAGTGCAACGCGATGCACATGTTATGGGATGTGTTAAGACATGTGCGATGTGCAAATCGTTGCGGTGGGAGTCAGAGCAACTCCCATGTGGACATGCTTGACTGCACATGTGCAGGACATGGCATGAACACCATGTTGCTTCAAACTGCATGTGTGCTTCACGAACATTTCAAAACTGATTCAACATGTGCATGACAAGTAAAGACCGGGTGGCACAAACTCGCACCAAGAGGTGGGCAGAGGAATCTGACAAGTGAGGGCAGTAGTCCTGGTCTGGACGGGGTGCAACTTGGCATGACTCCAGTGTCCAACGACGGAATGCACGTCGCGGGGACAAGGATGACAGAACGAGGCACAGAACGAGGCAAGATGGAAACGCCACGTGCTAATGACTGAAGCAAACTCGCACGGACCTCGGTGACGTATGGTCGAGCAGCGCTCTCTGGCCTGGTGAGGCCCCCGTACCTGGCAAGCTCGCGCTGGACACGTGCAGAAAGAAAGACTAAACAATCCCAATTTCGTGTTTTTCAACGCCTCAAGCCTTTCGCGAAGCCGTCATCCGAAGCTCGCTGGGACGTCGTCCTGAATCGCATGCTGAGCTGAATCCAGCCGTGCCAGCGACTTAGACGCTTGATTTCCACCTATGCAAACATCGTTTCCCTGACAGCTTGCCGATCTGAGACATTGAAGCAGGGCTCGTGGTCAGGATTGGATGAGCGAGCGCCCATGAGAATTGCAACACGTCAGACACTCGGCCATCATTTTGCGACATGCTTGGTGAGCAACATGCATCTGTCGCCGCGCCGCTGGTCCTCGACGCGCGCAGGTGGACGACGCCGACACCACGGCAAGCCAAAGGCAAACCCTGCGTCCCATGCCCAAGCAGACGACGCCAGCACCGCGGCAAACCCGCGGTGAGCCCGCCGCGCCCGAGGCGCCCTCCCCATCACGGAAGGCATCCCTTCGGGACAAGCGGCGCGGCGACATCTTCAAAGTCTCCCGAAGCGCTTCGAAGGCACGGCTTTCGCCGAGGGGCGCCCCCTCCCGTTGCCGCCCACGCTCCCGCACCCTCTTGCTCACTCTCTTCTTTCCCCGCTCTCCCCCCCCTCCACCAATGTGCAATATGAAAGCTTCTCTTCTCTCTCACCAGATCCTGTCCGAACGGGGTAATGCTTTTGTTTGTCCGCGTGCCGCCGCTTTAGCGTATAGGAGTTCAGGGTGTATGTTTTCCTACATATATGTGTATATGCGCATGTTTGTTTGACTTTGGAACGGCTGGCCTCATCTTAGGATTGGCGCGTTGCTCCCGTCGATCAGAAATGCGCCCCCTCCCAGCGCGTGCCACAATTCTGGATTCGAGTCCTTCCTCGTCGTTGTCGCCCAACTCCTTTCCCCTCTGCTGTTCCCTGGTTCACCTGCACCTCTTGCACCTCCTACTGCTGCTCCTGTTCCTCCTCGTCTTCCTTCCTCCTACTCATCACCCTCTCCCCGCTCATCCTCGCATCCGCGGCCACCTTCTCCTCCTCCTCCTCCTCCTCCTCCTCCTCCTCCTCCTCTAATGTGGCACATATCCCTTTTCTGATTGTGCAAAACACGATGGGGTCATTTGGGGGACTCCAGGTCCGCCGTGGAATCCGTCGGGGGATAGGACAAGATCAAAAGAGCAACGCAACAATGAGTGAGGGATCGGTGGGAGGGTTAGGATGTCAGATATGGCGCGAGCGCACGCACCTAGCCTGTCGCACACCCTGTTTCCCCCCGCTCTGTCACGCGTCTTCATCCCCGACCCCGCTCCCACGTCGAGATCCCTTCTCCCTCTCCTCCTCGCGGCAGCCCTCCCTGACCCCTCGGCGCGGGGAGGGAGGGAGGGGAGGTTGACCCCCCCGTCCATCCCACCCTTCCCCTCCCTCACCGCTCCTTCCCTGCCACAGGGCTTGGTTACTCTGCGGGCCCAGCCCCCCGGGGTGCACCTCTGGGGGCCTTTCTGGAGCTCCTCTGGTCCAAGAGATTTCGAGTGCTTCAAGACGCCCGGCCATGCGACTGCGACCGACATCGAGACGGGTCGCAGCACAGCGTGGGAGCAGCGAGCCGGCGTTTTCGCAAATAAATGCGCCAAGCTTGGTGCTGGGGCCCACCGTATCTCCGATGACGACGCTCAATTGTATGGGGGCGTGAAGCGTTTGGCGCAGGAGGCCTGGCGTTGGTCTGATAACCCGGAGGCGGCTACGTCTGGCGGCCCCCCCCGTGACAGGAAGTGGTCACAGGGCCAGCCGCTGCGAGCGGCACTGACCCTGGCTTGGGCCTGGACGGTGATAGTGCCGCGTCCGGCCAGGCCCTGGCTGAGCATCAGAGGACTTGGGGGCGGAATGGGTGAGTTTCTCTCGGCAAGTGTTTCGCGGCCACGGCCATGCGGTTTGGCCCGCGGCGTCTCCTATCCGTTGGGCTCCCCTCGGGACCGCGTCCAGTGTTGTTGCCAAGGCGGATCGTTCTTCCCTGGCACCCTAGATGTTGGTGCCATGGGGCCGTGTAGACCGAAGAGCTCCACAAGCGGGATCAGCAACCAACTGAGAAGGATTCGGCTGGCCAAGCTCCCGCCTAAAAGGACCTGACAAATCTGACTCTGAGTGCCCACGGAGGCCTCAACCTTGCCGAGCGTAGGATTCTGGCTCAGACGAGGGATGAGGCTGGTCGGGCCCTAGGGGAAGGTTCAAGTCCCTAAATGTCTGGGTTTGCGGGTGGCTTCGTACCGCGCGAGCAAGTTTCGGACTCGTTCGGACTCGTAGAGGGCGATCTCTCCTGGGTGCAGGCTCGGGGGGATGAGTCGACCAGAGCCCCGTCGCCATGTAGTGGCGAGTCGGACTCTGAAGCCACTGACTTTGGATCAGATGATTGCTGCCTGGCTGTAGGCCCGTCCCCAACAACACAATGGCCTCCCCACCTAGTTCCCCCTCTCCCTTCCGCCCCTCCTTGCCTTCCCGCACCCCCTCCCTCTCCTTCTTGCCTCCCTCCCCTCCATCCCCCCCCCCGCCCGTCCCTCACGCCTCCCTCTCTCCGCGATCCTCCCTGCCCCCCCCTCGCCTCGGGCGAACGGCGCCTCGGCCCACAGGCCAAGAATACGATGCCCCCACCCGTGTTGACAACCCCTCACTTCTTCTCCCCCTGGGCCTCCTCCTCCCTTTTCTCCTCCTCCTCCTTTTCAGCTGCCCTCCCGACCTCGTCCACACGTCGAAAGAGTCCTCGCAGTACGTGCCTGGGCCGCATACGAAGAGAGGCGACGAGGACTCTCACAGAACTGTGCTTCGCCAGAGGTGCTGGCTGTGATTGTTCCCGCTGGCTTCGCCGTTTCCCCCATGTCCATGTCAGCGTTCCCCTCCCTCCCAGTCCCGCGTGCGCCGTGCTTCGACGCGAGATGCACACTGTGTGCGTGGCTGGCTCCCTTGCACGTCTCCCCCTCTGTGGCTCCTTCCCCTTCTCCTTCCCATCCTTCTCCTCATCCCAAGTGTTCTTTTCCTCCTCCTCCTCCTCCTCCTCCTCCTCCGCCCCCTGCTCCTCCTCCTATTCCTTCCCACCCCCTCCCTCGTCTCATTCTCCGGATCCCCATCGCTTTCACTCCTCCTGTAATCCTCATCATCATCTCCGCCCCTCCTCGTCGCGGTCGGTCATCATCCCCTCCTCGTTGACCCCCTCAACCTCCTGCCCATCCTCCTATTCCTCGTCCTCCCTATTTGCCTTTACGCTCCCTCCTTCTCTTCCTCCTCCTCGCCCTCCTCCGTCGGCTCCCTTTCCTCGTGTTCGTTTCCCTCTTCCCCGTCCTCCTCGTCCTCATCTAGCCATGTTTCATTGTAACAATAAATATTACGCCTCTCCTATACATCCTTCCCGTTTCCCTCCCCGAATCTCCGTTTCCATACTGTCCTGCTCCTCCACTTCTTGTTGTTCCTCCAGCTCCGCCTCCTCCTCCTCCTCCTCCTTCTCCTCCTCTCCATTATTATGCGGCTCTCTCTCTCTCTCTCTCTCTCTCGCACCTCCCTGTCTCTCCGCGTGTGTGTGTGTGTGCGCGTGTGTGTGTGTGTGTGTGTGTGTGTCTCTCTCTCTCTCTCTCTTCCCCCGTCTCTCTCTTTCTCTCGCTCTCTGTCAGCCTGGGTCCACTCGCAAGCAACCACGCCAACACGAGGGCCGTCACGCTCAGGGACGAGCTCGCCTTCGAGCCAGAGCGGCCACTCTTCAAAGCGGGGGGAATAGTCATTTCCACCCTGGTCACGACATCCTGAAAAACGCTGCTCTCTTCACCAAGCGAGCGGAACATCCCTGGAAATACGTTCTCCCTGGCTTCACTGAGGAATAGAAGAGAACCGTGTCAGTGCAACAAATCAGGGAGCTCTTCGCCAGAAGGATCCACGACAACATAGTCAGATGGGTCGACGTCGAATTCCTCTGACGACGTGGAACCCTGTTGCGTCCACCACATCTCGTCTTCGACTTTCTGTCCTGTCAAGATCCAACAACGGCAAAGGTGCCTCCCGGCTCTATGCCTAAGCGGATAGGAAAGTTCGCCACCCGCTGGCGAGGGCCAACGTAGCCTACTTCAGGCAAGACAAGCCCCAAATGGCCCAGCTTCGCCGCTCCCGTCTCCTGGTCCGCGACCCGTAGAAGCAGACCAAAGCCGCGATCCAGAAGCCGACTTGCGGGACCAACGAAGAGCCAACACAGGGCTGCACCAGGACCGCCCATGCTCGAGCTCTCGCGTCCTGAATACTCGTCACCAGGCGAGGCAGGCGTAGCAAAAAAACGTGATCAACCCACTCCCAGACAACCAAAGCTTCCGTCACCCGGCGTGAGTGGCACTGCGAGCGGATCAGTCAACGCCAAAGCTGACGGTGAGCAGCAGCCACGACCCCAAGTGGTCCTACTGCAGCGGGAAACCAAATTGGAAACAAGGACGAGCTCGACGAGCTCGACAGCAAGCTCACGTCACCAAGGCAAAGGCCACCAATACCCAAACGACACAAAGCCCAGGGATGGGGAACGTCCTCCGACTCGCCGTCGCGGTCGCCGAGAAGCTTAACTCCACCCAGGCCACCATCGCCCTGCGCGGCCAAATGCGAGCCCCAGAGGGCCACAAACCAAGGCGTGCTCCACGAAGCGGCACTAGCCAGCGCGAGACCCAAACCAGCGCCGACGGGTATCCAGCTGGACAAATTTAGCCTAGAATTTTCTGCTGAAGCTGAAAGAGCGTGTTCTATCGCTGCTGGCGGAAAACGGGGGGGGTCACTGGGGGCCCCTAGCCCGCCCCCCCCCCCCCCTCCGAAAACCGAGGGGGGGTCGCTACCAGTTCGCTGCCCGCCCACCCCCCAGTCCATCATGAAAAGGGGGGGTCGCTACCGGTTCGATCCCCCCCCTCGCGCAAATTCGCTGAGCACCCCGCTCACCCGTAGCTGGGTTGCGTCTGCAACCACAGCGTTGGGTGCGCGCCGAAGCCTGCGCCGCGCCGAGAGGGCGCGGGCGCCACGAGGCCTCGGTGCTGGTCGCAGCACGACCCAGCAACGGGCGAGAAACGGGGCGGGCACGGGCGGGTCAAATCCCGAGCGCGGGGCGCGCGCCCCAGGCACACACAAACCTGTGGTACCTGCGCGCGGCCGCGGCGGGCAGCGGCTGCGCGCGGGGGCGCGCGGGCCTGCCCACATCGCCTGCGGCGCGCCGCGGCGCGCGCGTGCCAAGCGGCGGCGCGGCGACTGCTCGCGCCTGCGTCCGCCGCGTGCGCCTGGGGCCAGCGAATGCGTGCGATGGAACCAAGGGCCGAACTCGTTCCATACAAAAACCGGGGGGGGGGCCACTACCTGTTCGAACCCCCCCCCCCCTGAAAAACCGGGGGGGGGGGGTGGGTCGCTCCCACCCCAGTCCATCATGAAAAATGAGGGGGTCACTGCCGGTTCGAACAACCCCCCTCGAAAACCGGGAAGGTCACTACCGGTTCGCACCCCCTCGAAAACCGGGGGGGGGTCACCACTGGTTCGAACCCTCCCCCCCCCCCCCCCCCCCCACCCCCCCCCCCCCCCCTCGCCGCCGGCAAACGACGCCCGCTCCTCGGGACATGTCGGAGAATGGTGGGGATGTTGGGACAGTGGTGGGAACGGTGAAGGCGGGTGCAGTGGTGCGGGGACAGTGGGACAGCGGTGCGGACAGTGGTGGGGGCGGTGGTGGCGGGGACAGTGGCGAGGGGACAGCGGGACAGTGGCGCGGACAGTGGGGCAGTGGTGGGGACGGTGGGGACAGTGGTGAAGGCGGCGGTGAGGACAGTGGTGGGACAGTAATACAATGGGGAAAGTGGTGGGGACAGTGGGGACAGTGGGGACAGTGGGACAGTGATGGGGACAGTGGGGACGGTGGGACAGCACAGTGGGACAGCGGCGGGGACAGTGGGACGGCGGTGGAAACAGTGGGGACAGTGGGACAGTGGTGGGGACCGTGGGGAAAGTAGGGAGAGTGGGATCGTGGTGGGACAATGGTGGGGAGAGCGGGGGCAGTGAGACACTGGTGGGGGCAGTGGTGGGGACAGCGGGGACAATGGTGGGAACAGTGGGGGGGGTGGGGCAGTGGTGGGCACGGTGGTTGTGGGGACAGTGGTGTGGGGACAATGGAAATGTGGTGGAAACAGTGGGACAGTGGAGGGTACAGTGGTGGTGGCGACAGTGGTGAGGGCAGTGGCGAGGACGGCGGTGCGATAATGAGACAGAGGTACAGTAGGGACAGTGGTGGGGACACTGGTGGGAACAGTGGGACAGCTCAGTGGGACAGCGGCGGGGGCAGTGGGACAGTGGGGACAGTGGGACAGTGGTTGGGGCCGTGAAGAAAGTGTGGAGAGTAGAACCGTGGTGGGAACAGTGGTGGGGACAGTGGGGACAGTGTGACAGTGGTGGGGGCACTGGTGAGGACAGTGGTGACGGTGGTGGGAACAGTGGGGACAGTGGTGGTGCGGACAGTGGTGCTGGGGACAGCAGTGGGGGATGTGGTGCGGACGGTGGTAGGGACCCACAATTGTTTGCTGGCGGTGAGCGTGGGGGGGGGGGAGGGGCTCGAACCGGTAGTGACCCCCCCTGGTTTTCGACAGGGGGGGGTTCGAACCGATAGTGACACCCCCCAGTTTTCGAGAGGGGGGGTTCGAACCGGTAGTGACCCCCTCCGGTTTTCGGAAGGGGGGGGGGGTTCGAACCGGCAGTGACCCCCCCCCCCGGTTTTCCGGAGGGGAGGGAGGGTTCGAACCGGTTGTGACCCATCTTTCTGGGGAGAAGGGGGAGGGGTTCGAACCCTATAGTGACCCGTCCCAATTTTCCAAGGAGGGGGGGGGGTCGAACCGGCAGTGACCCCCCCCGGTTTCCCGGAGAGGGGGGGGGTGTTAGGGCAGGGGGGGGGGGTTTGCCAAGGGGAAGGGGGGGGGGGGCGGGAGACCCCCGGGTTCCAGAGGAGGACACAGTAAAGCGGCGGTGGATCACGCTCATCCACAGACCCAAGGCCCCACCTGGAGTGCCGCCGCGTATCGCGGCTCCAAAGCTCGAGCCCTAGGGGCCCGACAAATAAAAAAGGAACCCCTACAACCGACCTTCCACAGTTCGGATCTCACAGCGAGGCGGGGTCAGCAAGCCTCGGGACGGCGACATGCCAGACCCAAGCACCCGCATGGGACCTCATCCTGCCCAGCGAGGCTCTGAGCGTCGCTGCGCAAGCAGGCGCCAGGTTCCCCACGCAAGGGGATGGCAGCTCGAGCAACAAGTCCGTGGCGGCAGCAAGAGCGCACTCCCCGGGGACCGGTGAACCCAGCATGCCTGCAGGACCCCTTGCCGCGGCGGGCCCTAGGGCCCCGCGAGCAGCACCATCCAACCTCCCACCGGTTCCCGAAACCAGTGAGGAAGTGGCGCCAGCGCACGGGCCGCCCAGGCCACCCAGCCAGTGCGGCAGTCCACCAAGACTCCACAGTACAAGTGCGGCCGCTCTTCTGCCAACATTCCTGTAGGCCTACCATGACTTGTTCTGAGAACGACCACATGTTCTAATAGCACTAACGCGCACTTATAACGTACGCCCGACGTGTAAAAATAAGACAGTCTCAGCCAGAGATGTTCTTATAACATTCCGTGCACACCGCAGACAGTTCATAAATCAATCCTTGGCGGACCTAGAGTCAAGCCACGACGCTGCGCCAGTGCTCGGCTCTATCGCCGCCGTCCGTCGCTGCCGCGTCGCCACCCTCCTCTG